GGAGGAGTTGTGGTGGGTTGTGACTCACGGGTCTCTGCAGGGTACGTCCTGGCGGTGTGCCTGTGTATGTGTTTGAGAAAGTCACAGGGTGCCTGAGATGTGGTCGCTTCACTTTATCTTTTGTCCCTCAGTGAGGAAAGATTACAGGGTTTCCTGAGGCCTTTACTGCTAAAGTGCTCCAGTGTGATATTTCTGACCTGACAATGTGCGGCTGTATCACCTTCGTAACACAAACTGCACCTGCTGGCAGGCTTCCAGTGTTAGAAACGTTGTGTGCTTCTGTGTACAGTGGCACCCCGCTTAACGATTACCCCGTTTAACTATGAAATCGCTTCACAATGAGGTTTTTGCAATCGCTATTGGTTGAATAGGGAAAATCCGCTTCATGATGATCGGTTCCCTGCTTCAGGAACCAATTTTTTGCTTTAGGACAATCAGGAAACAGCTGATTGTCGGGTTTCAAAATGGCCGCCCGGTGTTCAAAATGGCTCCCCGCTGTGCTTAGGACAGATTCCTCGCATTACAGGCACCAGAAAATGGCCGCCCTATGGAGGATCTTTGCTGGACACTGAGGTATTTCGCCCATTGGAACACACTGAGCAGTTTATATTGCGTTTCAATGGGCTTTTTACTTTCGCTTGAGGACTATTTCGTTCTACAGCGATTTCACTGGAATGGATTAACATTGTCAAGCGAGGCACCACTGTACATGGTTGGCTGCTGCTTCGTGGTGCTTGTGAAGCTTTAGCACTAATGCTAATGGTCAGGAAGCACAATAGCGATAAACTCCACCGCCTTAGTGTGTTGCCTCCATCTTTTCCTCTGTTTGTCTCTCTGCTTCGTGTCAAACAGTTTCAAAAGCTTGCCGTTCTCCTCTCCAGGGAGTCCGTGGTGAACCGCGTCTTCAACAAGCTGGCCCCCCTCCATGACCGGATTTACTGTGCCCTCTCTGGGTCAGCTGCTGATGCCCAGGCCATTGCTGATATGGTGCATTACCAGTTAGAACTGCACAGGTGAGTAGGCGCCGTGTAGGTGCACACGGAGAGACACAGGTAGGGTCATGTCTAGGCGTGGGGCTTTTGGAAATCATGAAATTTCAACCCCTAGAGGTCTGCAGGAACCCCACGGCCAGACATAAACCTTTCAGATGGTCTGTAATCATGGTCAGCGATCGAAATTCCAGGGTGTGATGGATCCGGTAGTCTCACTACTTACTCTCATCCATACAGGGTGCCTCTCAGGAAACTACCATACCCATAATTCCCTGGCATTTCTTGAAGAGCTTAGCCCTTCTTCATGTTCAAGAGAAGCCATTATTTTTTCAGCTAGAAGTGATTACAGATGCTTAAAAGAACTAGGGTTGGGTGTTATTTTTTTTTCAGTCTAAGTTCCCAGGGGAATTCCCAAAGACTTCTGTGAATTTGTAATCCACAAATTCCAAAAATCCCATGCCTAGCTGTGTCATCCCAGGAAGCCACATTCCAGAAAATAACAGCCATGTAAAGTTCTTGCAGTAATTTGTGGTTGTTATTAAATCGCCCCCCAACTTAATGGCAACCCCAGGAATGAGTGAAATCTCCAGAATACCGTGTCTCCCACTGCCCTGCTCAGCTCTTGCAAGCGCAAACCTGTGGCTGCCTTTAGACAGTCAATCCATTTCATATTGGGTCTTCCTCTTTTACTGCTTCCGTCTACCTGTCCCAGTAGTTCTTGCAATAATTTGTGGTTGTTATTATGTCACCCCCCCAACTTATGGGAGCCCCAGGAATGAGTGAAATCTCCAAAATACCGTGTCTCCCACTGCCTTGCTCAGCTCTTGCAAGCACAAACCTGTGGCTGCCTTTAGAGAATCAATCCATCTCATATTGGGTCTTCCTCTTTTCCTGTTGCCGTCTACCTGTCCCAGTTTAGTTCTCCCAGCAATAACAGCAACAAAACCAGGCACTTAAGAACACCTTGATGCATGATGGTGTTATAAATGGCGACAGAGAACTCTGCTGGAGGTATGAAAAGCTAATGCAAAACAGTAGGTGTGTTTACTCAGCAGGAAGGGAAACAGAGAAATCAGTAACCTTGGGAGGGGCCGGAAAGAACCTTTGAGCCTGGCCGTGTTTTGACCTACAAATCCCATCTGTTCTCCACAGCGTAACCAATAGTAACACACATAATTATTATTGGGCATTTGTGTAAGATAATAATTTAAACTGCTGCCTTCGTGTAAATGGACTACTACAAAGCAGAAGCAGTAGAGGGGTTGCTCGAGTCTTTATGGGCAATCAGCCTGTCCTTTTATGCTTGCTCCATGAGCGTGTGGCTTCAGAAAGGGAAAAATACGAGATGCATGTTTGCTCAAGTTGTGCCGCCTCCTCCTCTGTAATGCAACAATAACGGCTTTTGTGCTGAAGGCAAGATAAGGACCTGAGAATCTTGTATCCCTCTGGGTTGATCAGTGCCAGAAACTGCATCAATAGTTTATAGTCTATAGGCTGATGGATAAAAAACTTCACTGGAAGTTTTCTCTTTAATCAGAAGTGGGACAACCATCTGTCAAAGATCCTTTAGCTGTAGATTCCCTGCTTTAATAGAGGGCTATTCTAGATGACCTTTGAGGTTCCTTCCAACAGTTCATCACCATAATCTCATACTTATTCATAGTTTTAATTTAAGTTTGAAACTTTCAAGCTGTTTCCTCAGTTAAAGCTGTGAACCAGAACAATGTCTCCAGACAGTTAAATGAGTCTTCAGCAGGTGTGATGATCCATAGCATTCCTTCCAGCTCTGCAGTTCTAAGATGATGGTGATGATGTGATGCTCGAGTAAGAAAACATTCTCTCATTGCAAATTTCCAGCAGTGAACTAGACTGCCAGGACTGTTTTAAAAAACAGGTGCAGGAGCGCCATCTAGTGACTTCGGTGGGACATAGCGCTTCTCCTTCCTCACCTGATTTCTCGGAAAAGGCAGCGCTGCCCTTGTTAGGTATGAGAAAGATAACAAGCCACGTGGGTCTTGTTATGCAGATAAAACAGAGAATTCCCCAGACTTGTAACAAAGACTTTCTTGTAGAAGTGGCTGCTTAGGCAAACAATCCAGTCTTGCCTCAGTTTCCCTGCATTTGTTTTGCTTCCCAGCTTCCCACTTCCAGAAGTCCACACTTTACCTCAGCTGAGATTGGCCCATTCACACGAAAATCCTCAATACATCCATAGGACTTACTCTCAAATTAGAGTGTTATAGGATGGCTCTTTTGTGTTTCCCTAGTTCATTTAGTTCTGTACAATTTCATTTATATATTGAAATCTATTTAATGCATTCCAGTTTGGGGTGTGGGAAATTGACATCTTGCAAAAATCGTCCATAGAAAACTTTTTTTGCGAAATGCGGTTCCCTGTTGGAATGCATTGAAATCTATTTAATGCGTTCCAATGGAGGGGAAAACCGTCTTGCGAAGCATCGGTCTTTAAAAAAAAAAAGTCTTACGAAGCATAGACCCAAACATCGTCTTGCGAAAATTGTCCATAGGAAAAACAGTCTTGCAAAGCGCAATAGCGATCACAAAAACCCATCGTCTTGTGGATTAATCGTCCCGCAAGGCAATCATGTTGCGAGGTACCACTGTATAGGTCAGTGTGCCCTTTCTGTATCCCATCTGGCTGCCTTAAACTTTGTTGTTGTTGTTGTTGTTGTTGTTGTTGTTGTTGTTGTTGTTGTTGTTGTTGTTGTTGTTGTTGTTGTTGTTGTTGTTGTTGTTGTTGTTATGTGCCATCAAATTGCTTCTGACCCCATGAATGAACGATCTCCAGAACATCCTGTCCTCAACTGACCTGCTCAACTCTTGTGAAGTCAAGCCTGTGGCTTCCTTTAGGGAGCTAGTCCATCTCTTGTTTGGTTTTCCTCTTTTCCTACTGCCTTCCAACTTTCCCAGCATTTTGGTCTTTTCCAGAGAATCCTGCCTTCTTATTATGTGTCCAAATTAAGACAGTCTCAGCTTCAATATTTTTGTTCTCAGAATGTTCGGCTTGATTTGATCTCTAGGACCCACATGTTAGTCTTTCTGGCAGTCCGGGATATCGGCAAAGCTCTCCTCCATCACTAAATTTCAAAATAACCAGTTATTTTCCCCGTCAGCTTTTTTCACTGTCCTGCACTCACATCCATACATGGTGATCAGAAATGCAAGAGTGTGGATGATCCTTGTGTATACACCCAAAATACAGAGCAGCATTAGGACCCTTAGAAGTTGATTTGAGGAGACTGGATGAAAGGAAGGAAGGAGGTGGGATAGAAAAGAGGGATGGGAGGAAGGGAGGAAGATGCTACTGATGGATGGAAAGGAGGAAGCAAGCAAGGAAGGAGTTAGTGATGGGTGGAAGGAAGGAAGCAAAGGAAGGAAGGAAGGAGGTGGAATAGAACAGAGTGATGGGTGGAAGGGATGAAGATGCTAATGATGGATGGAAAGGAGGAAGCAAGCAACGAAGGAGTTAGTGATGGGTGGAAGGAAGGAAGCAAAGGAAGGAAGGAAGGAGGTGGAATAGAACGGAGTGGCTAAACCCCTAAACCGACAACATTTTGTTACAGGGTTTCACTTTGTATTTTTGAAATCGTAACCTTTGCCAACTTGGTTGAAATGGCTGAATTATTCCCGTTTGTGTCCCTGGCAGTTTGGACGTGGAGGGACCCCCACAGGTCCTGGCTGCGGCCACCGTGGTGAAGAACATCAGCTACAAGTACAAAGAGGAGCTCTCAGCACACCTGATTGTGGCAGGATGGGACCCCAGGAAAGGTGGGCAGGTAGGTCCCAGTGAACAAAGAGGAAAGCGTGAGGGGCTTTTAATGGCTCCCTCCTTTTTTTAAAAAAAGCTGCAACATTTAAGAAATAGTCTGAGGCTGTTGGCGCTAGAACGCTGTGGAGAGTACCAGTACTCCTGCGAAGTGGGCAGCCAGCGTTGGGTTGTAATGTGTAAACATCATATTGGAACTCCAGCATCCTCTCAGACTTGCAGGGAAAGGGTCCTGTGGGTCATCGAGTCCAGCTCTGTCAAGGAGGCACAGTGGAGAATTGAATTCCCAACCTGGGAGTTTTGTGGCTAACTTTTCCTCAGCGGTGCAGCAGATGTGCAGGGACTCGCAGAGAAAAATAGTTATCAGTTGCTAGAGAGTTAATAGGGGCTTACAGTCTCCTGGACTCACTCTGTGACATTAATATAAAGAATAAAATATTCCATTTACTTACAAATGTGAATAAATATATTAACAACAAACTAACCAACAACATGACTGCCTTTAAACAACTCTGCTGTGGTGTACTTTCAAGGACATTTTTACCAACCACCATCAAACATCAAACGGACATTAACAGACTTTCTGAGGGAAAAGATTCCCTCAGCAAAGAGGTGGGGCTTTCTTTGAAATCTGATATGCAGGAGAGAATTATTGGTTAATGCTGGACAAATTGACAGTTACTCCCAGCCTATAGAGATCTTTCCCAGCCAAACAAGCTAGAAGCAGCATGTGATGTTGTAAAGTCCAACTCTTGTCCTCGTTGTTGTTGTCATGAATGCCAGTGTGGTCCCAGTGTACTGGACTAGAAATTCAGAGGCCTAGATTGTAGTCCTCACTACGGTTAAGTCACTAAATTCACAGGGGATCCTTGAGCTCAGCCTGAGCTTCATCACACATTTGATGGGAGGTCTGTTGGATGTTCTAATAATGGCACAAATCCTCATAATAAATTGCACTAGAATTGGCCCACTGAATCAATGTGGGTTTGGAAAATCAACTGCTCCATAAGTTCCATTGATTTAAATGGGATTACTATAGCTGCAACTTTTAGTTGACTAACAAAATCCCCATTGATTCAATGGACCTAACTCTGGTGCAAGTTACTATGCTATGCAACAGGATTTGGGCCATTATATCCATCCAGCACTGCTGCACATAGGAACGTGCAAATTAAGCCAGGATAATGGCCCATCTCTTCTTCTCTGCCATCTTCCATTCCAACAGGTGTACGGGACGCTCGGAGGAATGATCATCCGGCAGCCCTTCATAATTGGAGGATCAGGGAGCACGTACATTTATGGCTACGTTGATGCCGCCTACAAGCCTGGAATGGACCAGGAAGAATGTCGCCTGTTTACAAAAAATGGTAGCTATCTCATGGCCGTGTATTTCAGGAAGGAAATCAGAACGCTAGCTCTTTTCTGTGTTCCCAGGGGGTGGTATCTTCTTGCTAGTCCAAACTAAAGTAAACTCACTAAATCAATGGCAGAAGGGTAAGACAACACTTATGTAAGTTCAGTTGATTCAGTGGGTCTACTCTTGTTAAGACAACTAGTTGGATTTAAATAAAGGAATGCCAATTTTGGATAAGACTCAGCTGGTTCGGCAGGGGGTCAGTTGGTGGAAGTCAAGATTTGTACAGCTTCACATGATCTTCTCATAATATTTAGACATGGGTTGAGTCTGTGGCATGCTTCTTTTGGGGGGGTATGTTTTTAAAACAAAGCAAAGCAGCTGTTCCTAAGAGTGCTGGATAATACAGTACCACTGTTGACCTTTATGATGAATGTTTACCGAGCAGGATTTAGTATCTCCTGGAAACGTACTGATAATGTTGTCCACCAGCACATTCTCTACCTACCAGGTGCTTCTAGGCTGATTTTCACGGCTCCTTTTCTTTCTCTCTTGGTTAGCCATTGCTCTGGCCATGGGCCGAGACGGTTCCAGCGGGGGCGTTATTTACCTCGCCACCATCACCAAAGACGGCGTTAAGGAGGAAGTGATTGTGGGAGACCAGATCCCGAAGTTCTACGATGAATGAATTCCTTCTCCCCCATCCCCTGCTTTATATCTAATCAATGTCACTAAAATAAAACTGTTTTTGACCCATAGGCACAGAGGTTTTCATATCCTTTTTGACTGTGTGGGCCCTGTGTTGTTCCGGGATGATCCACACACTTTGTGGGTGATGTTTCCTTACAGATTTGTTTCTGCTGGCTGGTCTCCTCTACATCTTAGTTCCACTCCTGTTTATTTGTTTTTGTCTGTTTTCTTGGAATATCAGTTGTTCTTGCTTTCAACTTATTTCTTTGGCTCACCTAAAGCACGTGGGTGCTTATATACAAATATCAGAATATTGCAATACATTACAGAAAATCAGTGGCACGGTTCTGTATTTATTTGGTCTTCTTGGTTTTGTTTCGGAGTTTTGGGGGTGTTTTACCACCTTTCTCCATGACCAGCTCCTGTTACACATTTTTCTGCCCAGGAATGTTGTTTTTCATTCCGAAATCAAGCGCTAGTGAAGCATCAAATATTTATTTGATTATTGACATGTTCAGAAAGACTCCTTGTGCCCTTTAGGGAGCAAGGGGAACCCTCCAGCCATGCTTTGGCCTCCCTAGGCTCCCAAAATGTTTTCTTTAACGTTTGTTCACTGGGGGAAACCAACTTCCAGTTCCCTCGAAGAGAGGCCAGTGATTTATCACTCCTTGAGCTTCAGAAAAAAGAACTTTCTTTAAAAATGCCCATGTCCCTGGAATTTTGCAGCTGAGCAGTAAGGTAAGATGGGCCAAGAATGAGCCTTCTGAGGCTCAGAGAAGGAACAGCAACACAGCAGATGGGAAAACACCAGACTTTATTGAAATCCAATTATTCCAGCTGTCTAATATACATGTAGAAAATAAATCTTAAACCCATAACTAGAGATGGGAATATTCGTATACGAATACGAATATTCCCCCACAGGTGCAGATAACGAAGGTCCGGCCCCCTGGGGCCTGAGCGATTAACGATCCCTTTGCTGCCAAGAGCTTCAGGGTGCCTTCCAATCTCTCCGTTGCTCGCAATGGATTAGCCACTCTGCGACCTGGCAGAGAGGCTCATCATCCTGCTTTCTACCAGGACTGGCTATCTATCGCAATAGGAAGGCTCCGTGGAGCAAGTGGCACCTGTGTGTGGGGTATACTAATACAAATACCCCCATCTCCACCCTTGACCATAAAAGCCAAGTGCAATATGTTACTTATGTCACTAAGAAGAAGCTCCATTATAGAAGAATCAGATCATGATTGCTTGAAGGATATTTCCCCCCACAGATCATCATTTCCTGATTTTATAGAAAATTTCAAAGTGTTTATAACCAACGAAGAACAAACGGACAATCTGAATTCACTCTTTCCCCCCAAATTTTGGTAATTTGAGCGCAAGCAGGTACAGAAGCTGTAACTCAGTTAATATAATCTTCAAGATATGTATACAAATAATGTGAAAGTAACATTTTTTCCCTTCAGAAATACAATTTTTCTCATAATCTCTTGTTAGAAAAATTGGCTAAATATTAGCTCCGCTTGTGAATCACACTCTGAAGAAAGCCCCACTGACTGCAAAGGTTGATGGGTTGGATGATTGCCTGCCTGCCTGCCTGATGGATAAAGTGATCAATATGCTGCTCTTTCCCTAGACTGGGACTCATTACAGTTGCAGCCTCATGAATTTAAATAACATGAATCACCAAATATTTTATTAATTCAATGACAGGTCTAGAATTGTTACTTCAGCTACTAAGGGGACTCATTCATGAAAGATTTTCATGTGTTCTTTGCCCCAAACGTGAGCCTGGAACAAGGTCTTACCACTGTGGAGTTTTCAGAAAGCACAACAACAAGCCAAACTCTTCAAAATACAAAAATATGCATTAATACCTAGTGTAAAAATGAAAGAAATTGTGAAAGGGCAACACAGGATTCAAAGCATGATGGATCCACTCTTCCTCATTCGGCTTCCTCTGCGGGAGGCACCAATCTTGAGTTAGGCTGAAAAGAGAGGGAAAATTGTTTATGATGCTGCTTCACAGATGCCAAGAGCAGACTCTTCCCTTCTTTGTCACTGGATCTGGGACAGGAATCAGTGAAAACAATTATCCATTTTCATTCTATGAAGAGAGACGGAACACGTTTGGAAGCTACATTTTTGGCCAGGAGGGCAGATGGATCGATTACTGCACCCTGACGTTCCTGGAGAATCATGCAGGAGCAACTAAATGACATCTACTTTGATACCCAGATCAACTCGGAAAGGACGGTCGGGATGATCTGGTTCTCACTGGCATTTAACCCATTCAGGGATAAATGTTAGCTGAGACAGATAACCACAGGCTCAAACTACCAAGGAGTGTTATAAACTTTTATAGCACTCTGAGGGTTTTCTTTGTCATACTTTTGACCTTGACAGGCGGATAAATTACAGGGGACCTCACACAATTTGGATCCTTCAGTGCTGAGGGAATGTTTTGGGGCAATCTCTAAACCTAGGATGCGGTAAATGGACTCTGCATATTTGAAGCATAGGATGCTCCACCACACAGCAAGCTCAGTTTTTGTTGTAGTTGCTTTTCGAGTATGCTGGCAACCCAAACTATTGCATAGACCCCAGGTGTGGCTTGGTCACCCCCGGCAGTCCTGCCCTTAATGCTTCCTTTCTTCTTCCTCCTCCCGCTGGACATGCCAGTCCTTCCCTGAGGTGGGAAGAGGTTGGAGTCTCAACTCCTTTGGCAAGAGGACCCCCTCTTGCCCCATCAGAAGAAGGAAAGGACCGGCAAGGACAGAATAAAGAGTGCCACCCCCTCCTTCCACTTTTCCTTTCTCTGATCTTTCACTGACCCCCTCAAAACCTTCCCCTCCTGCAGCTGGGTCCTGACACCCGTCCTGAAAGAGGGCAAGTGGGAAGCAGGACTCTCAATTTGGGCTGATAGGCTGCAGCTGCAGGAGTCTGCTTACTAGGGATCCATCATCTTCCCAGAGATCCAGTCCCTCCCTTGCAAAACTCTTCTTGTATTCCTGGAGTCAACCGTGTTTGGAAAAGGAAGAAGGGATCCATCCTCAGAATGAATGGACTTGCCTTCCCCACCTGAAGGCTTTGGCCTCTCTCTCTCCCTCCTGCTCACAGACAATAAGCCCATTCTCTGCAACTCACCTCTTTCTGAAGATGCTAAATGGCTGCTGGGTTGCTCCCTGTGTGGAGAGAAAGAAGGAGACCAAGTGAGCATCTCCCTGAATTGTGCCTGACATTGAGAGACATGCGGCTCTTCAGTCTTCAGGAGGTCATACCTCAGAGGCTCAGTTATAAGAACATAAAGGCCCCCATTGGTCATTCTTGCCCTTATTGGGTGTCCTAAAAATATTTCGCTAAGACGTGTCATCTGAAGGGTTGCCACAGGTAAGAAGGCATCGATTAATTCTCCACTGTGCCTGAGGCAAAAGCAACTTTTCAGTTGCCCTGGGAGGAATCTAATGCTGAAGAGCAATCAGTTTGCAACGACATAAAAAGTGTTCTCTTGGATGTGGCAGATGTCTGTAGCGTCCCTGTCCTCTGAAACTGATCACTACCCTGTTTTCCCGAAAATCAGACCTAACCTGAAAATAAGCCCCAGTATGATTTTTCAGGATGCTTGTAATATAAGCCGTACTCCAAAAATAAGTCCTAGTGACGTGAAATCCCCGCCCTCCACCCTTGTGCAGCAACCAGAAGAAGATGACAGGACTGTATCTGAATAAATGTAGATTGTTGCACATGAGAAAAAATATCCTGAAAATAAGCCCTAGTGTGTTTTTGGAGCAAAAATTAATATAAGACCCTGTCTTATTTTCGGGGAAACAGGGTAATACAGTACTAAATCAAAAAATGCAGTGGAAGAACAGGTGGTGGTTCTGAGCCACCAGGCCAGCTCCCACTCAGGCCCACCCTCTGCACGAGGGACCTCCTCCCGATCACGGAACAGCCCTGCTCAGCTCCGCAATTGGGAACGATGGTTTGCCTTCCTCTAGTTTTCACCCTCCAGTTTGGGGGCCTCCCCCCCCCAGGAAGGTTCCATCAATGGCCTCTCCAGCCTTAACTGCAAGTGAGGTGGTTTTTTTTTTTTAGGGCTACGACACCTTTAATAGAATAGTCCCTACATGCCAGTTTTCCACATTTTATTTGTTCACTTTTATAGCACCATCAGGAGACCTTGCACGGGAGAAGAAGGCAGGCGTGTGGAATTCCCACATTCAGCCCAGGGAAAAGAGAAACAAACCAAAAGGGAGGGGGAGGCAAAGTAAAGAAGGGCACCGTTTGCAAGAGGAGGAGAACAGCCTCGCCAGCCCGGCCCCAACCTGTTGCCCTTCAAATATGCGGGATTAAAACAGTCACCACTCCCAGGACAATGTGACCAAGGATGATGGGAGTGGTAGTCAGCACCCTGGAAATGTAGAACGTTGCTATAAGACACGAATACTAGAAACTTGTGCCAAAGGCATGAAGAAAAAGAGGGTTTGGGGAAGGGACAGGAAGTGGAGAAAGGGGTGACGCGGAAGACCGGCCAGAGGTGGCACCAGGCAGGGAGAAAGGGGCGGAAGACCGGCCAGAGGTGGCACCAGGCAGAGAGCGATCCGAGTCCATGAGGCAGCTGGACTGCTACCCTTCTGGCTGCCAGGGAGCCGAGACAACGAAAGGACCAGCCCAGCAAACTCCAATGCGGTCTCTTCGGTGCGTGTTAATCTCACATGAGAGGACGGGATTGTGCTTTTCCTTCCCACGTCCCTCCCTGGCCTTTATTTCATTTTTTTAAAAGAGCATTTTCACCATAAGATGTGAAGCAAACTGCAACTGAAGCCTCCCTCACGCACCACAGGAGGAAAAACTGACCTTGGGAAACAACTGAGAGACCGACCGCACTCAAAGGACAGGCTATTGATCAGCAAGCTGCTGCTCCTCCCCCCATAATTCTCCGCAACTGCTCTCAATGGCTAGGGCTGATGGGAGATGTAGTCCAACAGCTTCAGAGGCAGCCTGAGGCTTGAGATTTAAACACAGAAAGAGGAAAGCTCTACTCACTGGACGCTGCTTTGTAGCCTTCTTGATGTTTCTCTGCAGAGACAGAATCGGAGAGTTAGAGATGAAGGCTGTTCCCAGAGATCATCCAAACCCACCCCCTGGAGGCAGGGAAGGAAGGTCTCCTGGTAGCAACAAACAATTTCATTGGTTCCCATGGAAACCGTCCTGCCTCCGGCCCCTCCCTTCTAGAACCATGGTTCTCTCAGAGGTTGCTAGACAACTCCCATGATCCTTTTGCAACTGCTCACAGTAACCAGGGCTGATGGGAGTTGTAGTTCAAGAACACCTACAGGGCCCCTTTTGTCTCCCTCTGCCCCAGAAGAACCCTGAGGTGCAACTTAGGTCAGCACAGAAAGGAGGCGGCGCTTCCCATGCAACTTTGAGAAGGGGAGATCTGGGGGTGTCCCTCATCCTTTGAGAAGATTTCCAACGAACCCCCAAAGCCTGACTTTGGCTTGAGACACGTGGGGATCCCTGGGAAAGAGGAGCGGAAAGAGGAGCAGACCTGAGATGCTCATAAAGAGCCCTGACGGAAGGTGTAGGAAGAGAGCAGGGAAGCCCAGGCCATGGGTCTCCTCTCAATCTTCCCCCTGAAGGGAGACTCCACAGGAAAACATGTCCCTCCAACCAAACAGCAACCTCCCAACCAAGGCATTCACTCCTTGACTTACTGATGTAGACCCAGGCGCCAGCAACCCAAGTCACGATCAGGAGAGCCACAATGACGCACCCAATAATGAGCACCAAGTTGGAAGCTGAAAATGAATAGGGAGAAAGAATGAAATAACTGATGATGAATCCAGAACCCTCCTGCCCTGTTCAGGAGGAAATGAAAACTGGCTAAAGGGAACTGGGGAGCCCACAGGGTGATGCTAAAGTGAATGAGAGTGATGGAGATTTGAAGAAGGCGGTTGCAACACCCAAACAGAGAGGTTACTTGTCAGTAACCACGGTCCTCTGTGAATCCACACTAATGGGTTTTTCTACGCCTGCGCAGGAGGTCTCGGAATATTCTAGAGCTTAAAAGACATTATTAGTAGGACGTTGCCCCCTGGTGTGCATGCTCCGCCCGCCCGTTACCTCAGTTCTGAATGTCCGCCGCTGTCAAAAGCTCTGACCCCCATGAAGCTCAAGACAAGTGACGGACATTGGGGAAGGTGGGCGGGACATGTGGATTCACAGAGGGCCACTCGAAGAACCAGAGTTACAGGTAAGTAACCTTTCTTCTTCATGGCCTCTGTGAATCCACACTTACCGGAAGGAAGGCTGTCATACCAACAATGAAGTCAGCACAGCTCTTCTGAAACTTGCTTCCTTCTTGGCCCTGACATCGAGACGAAAGCGTGTCACAAAAGTCGAGGGTGTAGACCAAGTGGCCGCTTGACAGATGTCAGGGACTTCAATGCCACACAACAAAGCTGTAGACGTTGCCATAGCTCTAGTAGAGTGCGCCTTTAGTACCTCTGGTGGAGTCTTGCCTGACAGTTCATAAGCCAGAGACAATCCACTTTGATAGTGTCTGTGAGGAGGCAGGAGAACCCTTTCGTGGTCCATAGAAACAGGCAAAAAGTCTGAGAGAAACACTAAAATCTTTAGTTCATGAAACATAAAATGCCAGGGTACGACAAACATCGACGGAGTGGAGCATGCACTCGTCAAAAGATGGATTAGGGAATAACGTTGGGAGAATTAGAGGTTGATTGACGTGGAAATCAGAGATCACTTTGGGAAGAAAAGACACATTTGGATATAACACCACCTTGTCAGGGAAAAACTGAATATATGGGTTATCAGCTCAAAGAGCAGCAAGTTCACTTGCTCGACATGCAGAAGTTATCACCACAAGGAACAACGTTTTAATGGAAAGAAGTTTGAGGTTTGCAGAAGCCATGGGCTCAAATGGAGGGTGACCCAGTGCACAAAGAACGACCTGGAGAGACCACCTGGAAAGTGGAGGTCGGACAGGTGGATGCATATTTCGCAGTCCTCTGAGGAATCTCTTTAACGTGGGATGAGAGAACAAATGGGAGGCTTCAGACCCTTCAGGTTGATAAGAAACTATTGCAGAAATGTAAATTTTAAAAGTTGAATGAGCCAAACCTTGGTCAAACAGGTAACGAATGAACTTAAGAAGGGCATCCAAAGAAACTGGAATTGTGGGCAATTTCTGTGATTGAGCAAATTTGATAAATGAATTCCATTAGTAACAATACAATACAGTAATTGAGTTGATGGCTTTCTTTGCTTTATTCAGGACTTCAGCCACTTTGGGAGAATTCTCCATGCAGTCAGATGTAGAGAGCTGAGGTCAGGATGGCAAATTTGGGCCTCGTCCTGAGTGAGTAGGGAAGGTTGAAGTGAAAACCTGAGAAATTTGGAGGTCATGGTCCTGAGAGTGGTGAACCACGGTTGACGAGGCCACCACGATGCTATTAATATGGCATCTCAATCCACTTGACAGATCCTGATTATCATCCTCTGGATGAGTGGAATGGGTGGAAACAGGTAAAGTAAGGTGTCATCCCAATTCACCACGAAGGCATCGCCTAGAGAGTCTTGCCCTCGTCCCACTCTGGAGCAGTATCTGAGACAGTTTGTGTTATTCTGGGTGACAAAGGTGTCCAGGCCTGGCGTTCCCCACCGACTGCAGAGATGAGAGAAGACGTTGTCATTGAGGGCCCACTCGTGAGTCTGGGTGGTTAGATGGCTCAGACGGTCTGCAACCTTGTTGTCTTCTGTAGCGACATGCAGAACCACTAGGAAGATGTGGTGATCATAGCACCACTCCCACAGCTGGACTGCTAGGTAAAGAAGATGTAAGGAGTGGGTACCACCCTGTTTGTTGATGTAATACAGGGTGGTCATATTGTCTGTGATGACTTGGATCCCACAACCTGTTATCATGAATTGGAAAGCTC